GCAGAAATCACAGTGAGGGCGACTGGGTGTTTAGTTGAGCTGCCTCCATCAGACCGTGTGATACTGGGTCTCATAAACACTGGTCTGGTTGCTCTCAGGGACTTTCAGGGACTGTTTGTAAGGCAGTCAGTTCGCCAGGAGTGGAGATGGGAGATCCTTGTGTAGGAATTTCTGAAGGTCTTAAGTGAAAACACAGTAATCACTAGGAGTTTTAGACCCAGTGTTTACTTAGCTCAGCATCTCCTGACCTTAGGGAGTTCATGACACTGAGTCCATGAGAAGGTCAGGATTGTGGCCATCTTTGGCCTTCTGTTTTCCTAGCGGGCTTCGCTTGTGAGTTAGCTATTGACACCCAGGAGCTTGGCGTGGCCATTCTAGAGTAAAGATTTGTACCCAGTGACTTCTATGTCCATGTCTACATGGCACCTTATCTGGCTTGAGATCAGTCATTCTCAAAGTGTGATCCCTGGCCCCAGCTGCGTCAACATCAGCTTCACCTGAGGGAACTTGTTAGAAATGCACATTCTTAGGTTCTACTCCAGACCTACTGAATCAGAAACTCGGAGGATGGGGCAACTCATCAGCAAGCTCTGTTTTAACAAACTCTCATGCACTTTAGAGTTTATAACACAGGTCCAGGGAAAGTAGATTAACAATGGTTAAGGGCCTCTATGTGATTACTGAGCTAGGCTTGTGGTATTTATTGTCATACAATCATGCTTGAATTTAAAGCTGGTCATCCCCAGTTTAAGGATGAAAAAAGTCAGACTCAGAATTTCAGAAACCTGCTCAAGATCACGCAACCAGTCGAGTGGCAAAGTCAGGCTTGTGAACCCAGATCCTTCAGATTCAAAACGTATACCATGATGACAGCCATGGCTCCAAATCTGCTCCCAATTGGTACAGAAAGGAACCCAATTGGTTCTTTAATGTTTTTAGAGTTAATGCCTCTTCTTCAGAAGTAGATTAATACAACTACCTGTTAGGCTGTACTGCTATACGGACTTTATTGTCATGTGGTTCAAAACTTGAATCTTTTATGTGGAAAGGTCAGGTCCATGAATGTTCATTAGCTCTACCAATAAAGGTCAAAGTAGGCAGAAAATGAGAAGGAACAGATGTAGAATCATGGAGAGCATGTGTACCAGGAGTCAGAAGGCCTGGGTTCAAGTTTTTATAGTTTAGTGGTCATTTGACTAAGTTACCTAATTTCTCTGAATCTCAATATTTCCCATCTGTAAAAAGGGAGGAACATCTTCCCTTTCTCATGAGGTTTTGGAAAGGGTCAAAAGAGAGTAGGTAGAAGAAAATGTCTTGAAACTTTAAATTTAGAAGCATACTATAGTTAATATAATAAGGAGAGAAGGAGTCAAGATAAAGTTATCCGCCATCCTCAGCATTAGGGATATTCTTTCTCTGCTTTGGTTCGTTTATATCATAGAGATCAGGAACCTTGTGGGACAGCCAGTTAAGTGTATCTTTGGCAGATAAATTAATCATTTTCAGGCGCAATGCCAACCCTCATAAATAATGACCGTGGCACTGGCAGAGGTTTGGGATTATGTGTGAAAAATGGTCAAGGTTGCTCATGGTGATGGTGGGCAGGTAAACTGTGTCAGACCAGGGAGTGTCCAACTCTAGAGGGAGGCTGGAGATCTGGGAGGGACCCCAGAAATGGGGGACCAAGTCTGGGAATCTGAAGTGCTAACAGACAGGTGGCAATTAGGGGTTGTCTGGTAACCTGCAAGGGAGACTCAGTCTTGGGGAAAGTCTCCATTTTCTTCATGCAGGCAAACCATGACTCTAAATTTGAAACCCTCTTTGTCTTTATTTTTCTCTGTTCACTTGCATTTTTAATAAGTGTTAGGCATTGTAATTTCACTTTTATTATTAAAAAATACTAAATATAAGGTTCTGAGATAGGCATTACATATATATCATACCATTTAATCTTTAGAATGACTTTGACACGTTGGTGTTATTCCCATTTTCCAGAGGAAAAACAGAGGCCCAAGATGGTTAAATAACTTGCCAAGGGGACATAGTAAGTGGCAGAACTGGGACTGGATCATTGGGCTGTCTGAGCTTAAGCAAGTCTTCTCCTCTCCCTGCTACTGTGCTGTGGACATCCAACAGGTCAGCCGCAGAGACTGGACCCGGCCCTTGTATTAATCTGAGGGTGGCTCTTGGTACCTGAAGCTTCCCAGAATCTCATTTTTCAGGCTTCACAGATGCCTGGAAGACTTAACAATCTCTCTTACATCTGGTTGACAAGCTTTATAAGTCCACATTTCATCCACCAATTCATGCTCTGTTCATACAGAATTCCTTCTCATCCCTCAAACACCATGCACCTGTATGACCCTAGTCAGATGTTTCTCAGATTGTGACCTGAGATCTACCTACTTGTTTGAGGATGCAAACTCTAGATCCTCATGTTAGAACAACAGAACCTGAATCTGAGAGTGAGGCCCAGCAATTTGCATTTTAAGAAGCACCCAAAGTGACCTGTCTGCACATGAACATTTGAGGACCGCTGGTCGCCTTTGTACGTGCTGTGTTCCCTTCTTAGAGCACCTTCCTTGCATTTCTAACTTTCTGTGCCTCTGTCTTTTCTACCCCATGATTACCTTTAAGTTACCTCAGATGTCACCTCTTTTGTGAAATTTTCTTGGTTCCACCCTAGCATAGTTAGCAATCCCCACTTTTGTTCTCCCTACCAATTTGTTTCTGCCTCTATTAGAACACATCGTTTTGTAGTGTACTTGAAATAGATCTCTGACCTTCTCTCTACTCTGAGATCTTTGAGCACGGGGATAGTTCCCTAATTATTCTCATTCTTGTCTTCAGTGCCTGGCATAGTGCCTAACATCAATCAAGCAGTACCCATCAAATGTTTGCATATAGGAAGACAGGCTAAGGCAGGCCTCAGTCCTAGAACTTGGGTAGTGGGCAATTACACAAGCAGGGATCTAGCTATTTGCTCTATGGCATAAGACCACATTCTTGTGGGTAAGGCTAGCACTCAGCTCCTAAAACCAAAGGAAAGTCACTGAAAAATCAGGCCCTGCTAGCTACCAGCTTAGGACACTTAAAATTCCTCATCGCTCTGATCCAGAATTGTAATCAGACCTGCAAGCAGGGGGGTCATCTCTACCAAATGATTTTGAAATGCTGAAGAAGAGGAGGGAGTCATGCAGGCTATCCCATCAGCTTCTATGGATTAAGTTTGTGATGGCAAATGCCCTGAGATCTGGATGTGAGATGCTTTGGAAGTTGTTACTGAGTTGCAAGGAGGGTTGTTTCAAACATGGAGATATCATCAGACTATTTTCATGTATGCAATTTGCTCTAGAAGGGCAGGGAAGGTCCCCTCAATCAAATTTTTGATAGAAGATGAGAAGTGTCATTGCCCTGCTGGTGTTCATGACTCAAACCCTTTTAGGAAATATCTTCTGGGTTTTAAACAAAGTTGCACAGCTGTGTGGGTTCCCTATGGGAGTCCTGATGTGACAATTTCTATTGGGCTGTGAGCTTGTTAGACCCTGTGGCTGTAGTTCTCTGGCAGCTCTTTCCTTGGACCAGGACTAGGAGACCAGCCCCTGAAATGGTGTCTGGATGAGGAGGAAAGTCAATGGATTTTTTTTTTAAACTTACTTTTTATTTTATTCAATCACTTCATTCCCAGAACCTTCCTTCTTTATTATATTTATCACGTTATAAATTCACCTATAGCAATTTAGATGGAAGAAAAGTAAGGAAAAATTATTTTTGTTTACTGGGAACCATTAAAAAGAGAGGCCATTAAAGATTATTGTTGTTTCAGTCAAGTTTCAACAAGAAATGTTCGAAGTACCAGGGAAAGCCATAGTGTTCCCATTCCTGGATAATTTGTTTCTGCCCTTGTTTGCCTACATATGTTTTAAGATTTTCCAGGGTGGTTGTTTCTATTTAAGGCACATCATCTGCGGAATTCCGAAATACAAACCAGTTCTTTGAAATTTTTGATAAAGCTCAGTTCTTAATAACAGGAGGGTTTCAAATGCCCTCATAGCCACTTGGCCATCTGTAAATAAATGAAGTTCAATGAGGAAAATAGCATAAGGAAGCCGTTTTGGTTACTATTTCCATTTTGTTCATTCACATCATCAGTTTCAAGATGACAAATATAGAAAGAGTGTGAGAACACTTTTTAAAAAAAAATTATATTTTGAAACTTGGATCTGAGTTCAAACACTCAATCTAAAGGAGACTTATGATTCGAACATGAGTTATTTATAGTCTTTGTCACTTTCCAGAATTTAAATTTATGTTGGGATAAAGCAAATTCAAGGCTACGTTTGAAAAACAATGGGGCACATTCTTTTTTTTTTTTTTTTTTTTGGATTTACTTATTCTTCAAGTAGAGGCTCTTACATTCTATTTTTGAGACTCTGGGCAGTAGTCCTGGGTAGACATGGATATTAGAATCTCAGGTTATTATTGTATCCCGATGTCCCCTCCTGGATGTATGCTTGATCACTGGGTTGCATTTATATCACCTGAAATGGAAGTGATTCTGATTTACAGCTCAAAATGTGGCTGACTACACCAAATGGCGAACATTTCATTACTTCAGTTTTATGGGTTGTGTCTGAGGGGTTTGGTTCAGAAAATGGACCACTGCTCAAAAGGAGAAAGTTTGTTCCCATGAGGCAGTAGGTATTGAGTCAGCAAATTATGTATGTCCAGCCCAAGTGTCAGGCAGACCATACGTTCCAGCTGCCAAAGTCATCCCACCCCCCCAGCATGCACGCACCTAAATATGCTCACCTAACGTTCACAGACAGGCAGACAGACATATAACACGAGTTAGCAAAGTCCTACTAATGAAGAGAAAAAGCCATGCCACATGGTAGAGTGAGACTGTGACACAGAGCTCTGTGTTCTGTCTTCACCTTCTCTTTCTCACATATCTTTCCCCAGTGCCAATAGCAATACAGATGGCAAATGAAGAGTGAGGAGAAAGCAGAGTGTGAGCGTATGTGAGTCGGCGTGTGTGTCTTCCTCTACGATGGGGCTCTCAGAGCTTTATTCAATCTCTGGCACAATGCAGCCTCTGTAGAAAAGATATTAGGAACAAAAAACAAACTTGAAGATTCAGGAGCAGGCTGCCAGAATTATTAAGAAAAACATTCAGATGATGCCATTAAAAACATATGGGGATTCTATAAAGCTCTGAAAAGAAAATGTTTAATTATGCGCCGTATGCAAAAGCCATCACATTTAGATTAATACCGAAGACTGAAACTGCGTGGGGCTTAAGTAGTCCGCAGTGATGCATCAATCTTTTTACTCCTTTAAAAATAATGTTTTTCTTTCGCTGATGACAAATACCTTTTAAACTGTTGAGATCATGCTGCTATAGTGATACATGGAGTTTAATGAAGTCCAAAGTCACTAACAAAAGTTTCCAAATTAACTTTTTCAAGTTCCCCGAGTTAGATTTCTTTCTTTTCCTACAATCCCCACTCACTTCCCACCCCCCTAAGAACCCCTCCTCCCCCTCTCCACCACACAAAGGTTGACTATGCTGGTTGGATGGTTAGAAATATCCAGTTTTGAGGTTTCCCCTTTTAAGACACTGTAATGAGTCATTGCCCAACTTTTAAGTGTTAATGGTTACCGTGATTTTGATTTCTATTCTCAATAGCTCACATTAGAAGCCTGAAGAAATACAGAACTCTTGTCCGTTTTTAATAAGTATGGAGACTATTTTCTCTCATTGGAATCCGATGTGTTTTAGGATCGCCATCATTTCCTTTCGGTCCTTGTAAAAGTGTAGAATCATTATTTTATATGGCTTTGTATGTGTATGAGGAGTGCTACAGTGGGGGAAAAAAATCAAACTTGGTAGCTAGTAGAGCTTCCAAACAAGTATAGTGGATGTGCTCTGAGTAAATATAAATCAAAACTGCAAAAAGCAATTTGACTTTAGTTACCTGATTACTGCACTCAATTTTATAGTCATACAAGTTTAACTATTGGAAAGGTAGAGCTGAGACTTCTCAAAATTAAAAAAAAAATAGTGTACAGATGCACAAAAAAAAGATATAAGCAGGTTTTGTATTTATTTGAAAATCTTTACTAATCTTAAGACGGTCAAATGTATTCTGTTGGTGCTAGTTCACCTTGGGGAATTTTATGGACTTAAGCACTTGGGGTTTTGATCCCCATTTATTGGGCTAGGCTTCTTTAAGTAAACATGTGGTTTATGAATCTGTGGACAGATTTGTTGCTCACACTTGAATGTGTCAAAACGTTTTCTTAAGTGTCAGTCAGGCTCATGGCAATAAAAATATAAAACTCCTCCCACCCCCTTGATGTCTGTCATTTTCTATATTACATATGTGATTGAAAATTATAAATTACCCAGCCTGCAATTATTTTTAATAAAGGTGGCAGGCTCTAGGAACCTGACTGGCTTACTCAAAGGCCGGGCTGGAAACAGGTTCACCCACTGCCCAGTGCTGAGGCTTTTGGATTGAGGTACGTTGAACTGCTCAGGGGTGATTTCAAATTCAATCTGCTTCTTGCTTATGGAATCCTGAGTCGACCATTCTTTCAGTGTTTTCCTCCCGTGTATGTTTTTGTGTGAAAAAACTTTACTTCGATTGGTTCAGAGCCAGCTACTTCTCACAAAGAGCCACCTGTTTCTGAGTTTACACAGGATATGTTGGATTTATGTAATACAATAGGATCAATTTAATTATGCTTTTCCTTAAGTACAATGCTACCTGGAATTATTTTACTACCTGATACATGCTCACTCTTTGGAGACCAAAAGAAAAAACAAAAACAAACCCTACACTAGCTCTGACTTAAGTTAGCTTTAAGGTATTTCATTACCCCAATTTCTTCTAATATGCATTAAAGGCTATATACTTTCTGTCTGAAAAAAATGGCTGTTCTGAACTCCCCACAGTCCCAGTTATTTACAATGTTTCAAAGCTGTAGAACTACTACAAAAGATTTACTCATATAGCAGAGCATGTAAAATTTAAAATCAATAAAGTATATAAATTTTGCTTGTCTCCTTGAATTGATTCCCGACTCTAATAGCTCAATACTGTAATACTATATACTTTTTTATTTCCAATGTCATTACCCAATAATAATCTCTGGACTTCTTTGCCAAAGCGCTGGGGAAGTTCAGAATTTCTGACAATATTCTTCACAGACAGTTGTCTCAGGCAATTGTTACTCCTTGCACAGCTTCTAAAAATGAATAAGCACATGAGCAATATTAGTTTGGTTCTGTGATATTAGAAACTCAACTAATTTCCTTTGACGTGGTAAATATAGCTGAATATTTGATTTTGTGGGAGAGGAGAAAGATTTGAATTTAGAATGTCTTAGCAGTGGTAGATTAATTCCACAATGTCTTTTGCTTTTTTAAAGAAGAAGTATGAAGTTCAGTTTTGTATGATTTTCTAACAAGGGTTCTTCTGACTATAGCTTTTCTTGGAGTTAGCAAATACGGCACATGCAAGAGGCAGCTAATGTTGGGAAGGTTAACTTTTACCAATGATACCCACGTTTTTTACTCTCTAAGTGTATTCACAAGAATAAATTCTACCTCATCTCAGAACTTGCCAGTATTTTACAGAGTGAAACAGAGCTCTCCTTAATAGATTTAGAAATAAAGATAGTTCTCGGCAAATTAAAGCATGGGAGGCCGTGAACAATTATTCTACCACTTACCTTTACATTCACAAGGGTAGTTGTTTGCTTAAATCATGGTGGTACCTGGGTCCCAGTGCTAAAAGGGTTGAGCTGACCTTGGTTTCTTGAAATGCAAAATGTCGTCAAATCCAAACATGCTGGTGAAATCTAAACTCGCTTTCATTTCTTAATGGCCACTCTCAGCCTGTAAAGAACACAGACAGACGATTGCTTACTTAGGCGTGAAAACAGAAAAGATTGTCCATGCTTGCGCCAGGTATTTTTGCTTGCTAAAGCAATGCTTTCTAGCCAGTCTCTTAAATTCTTCCTTCTCTTATGTTTGTTTAGTGTCGTGATTGACAGAGTCCCCACAAAAAATAAAACTGCTGGAGAATATTAATTTGAATCCCAGCTCTTTTACTTTACTTTGTAACCTTGTGCAATTCTTTAACTCAGAGTCTACACTCGTAAAGTGGGGATTAAGGACTTTGGTCCTACCTCACAGAGAAGTTGTAAAGTGAGCATAGTACAATCTGCAGGACTCTGTGCACATTATAAAGTTCAGAATCCATATCCCCATATTCTCTTCCATCTGAGCTAATCTTTAGCTCCAAGACAGAAATTCAGAAATTTCTCATTGATAGCTTTAGGGGTAGGATTGCCAGATAAAACACAGAATGCCCAGTTAAATTTGAACTTCAGATAAACAACATATATGTGTGTGTGTATGTGCACATGTGCGTGTGTGCGTGTACACACACACACACACACACACACACACACACACATTTATCTGAGATTCAAATTTGACTGGGTGCCCTAAATTTTTATGTGCTAATCTGTCAACCTTCCTCTCTGGCTGGAATATTTCCTTACATTGTATAGATAATAGACTAAAGGTGCTTAGGAGTGGGTATGCAGGGGCCCCATCATGTTTCCAAATTAATGGCTAAGTACTTAGTCCAGCGTAATAATTGAAAGTATCTGGTCTATCGTTATGCATATTTGTAGTACCGACTTCAGTATCTGATGTGCAGCAGGGCAAATTAAGCCTGGTTCTCCCCTCACTCCAGAGGGTGATGGTCTCCATTGAGGTTGGAGGTGGAGGGAGCGGGGGTGTGCGCACATTACCTGCAGTGGTGAGTGTTGATGGTGAATTTCCTCTGGAATGCCACTGCTATGTACTGATCCTTTTTGAGGATTATGTTACCTCTTATCTCACAAAACTAGGTTGTGAAATCTAGAGAAAGGACAAGGCCTCTTTTTAGAGGACATAGGCTCTTCTCAGGACCCAGGACCCAGGAACCAGGGCCCAGGACTCAGGTGTTTGTGTGGTCTCTGCTGGTGTTTTGCCTGGGCCTTTCTGGAAGGGCAAATCGCTTTTGGATGCCTTTCTACTTTCTATTTACATTTATCATCAATTTTTTGGGGGGAGGTTAATTTTCTGTTAAAAAAAAAGATAAAGGAGCTTAGCTAGGCTGATCTTAATTTTAAGTTTTCAAAGCAATGACCATTAAAAAAGTATCTATAATGTGATGTCATACTTGTCTCCTGACATCTGTTATGTTGGGAAAGTCTTGCAAACACAGGTAATCAAGGTTCTCTACTTTTAAATCCACAAATGCTGGATCTGGCACTAAATACGGGATCTTCCCAAGTGTGTAAAGGGGTGGGGTAATTTGTGTATGTCAGTTTACTAAAAATATTCACTATTTTATAGCACTACTTATAAAATCTAGCCAGGTCTAGGTAGTTGTCACACATATCAGAAGACTGATTACATTACCTAAGCTTTCTTTTTAAATTTCTCCTGCCATAATGGTTTATACCAACCACACAATGTGGTCACATGTGGTCTCTGAATGCCCAAGTACTAAGGTGCCTGGAGGTCCTAGCAGGACTGAATTTATTTTTCTGGAGTCTCTTACCACACATTGTCTACTGTACTGTGGAGCAGTAGGTTTGGCCCCTGTAAACCATGGCAGGTGGGTACTCAGTCTATCATAATATCTGTAATGGGCCTGACACAGATGTAGAATTCTTATGAACTCCACTTACCCTCCAGAGGGCAATCTAGGGTCCTGAATGACATATGAAAGCTAGTACCCCTACTTAAACAGCTGACTCTTTGGTCCCTTAAGAAAAGAAACTAGAGCTTCTTATGGTCAGAAACTATGATCTTACTCACCTTTGTACTGTGTGTATTTAGCAAATATTTTTGAATAAGTTTGTCACAGGAAGCATAAAACTGAAGCTACATGATTGAGTTAGGTTGTAAATGTAACTTCTACTTGCCTCTCAACATGGAAACGCTAAAATTTTTACTTGCATGCCTTTTTAATTTTATTATTATTTACTTGCATGCCTTCTTAATTTTATTATTATTTACTTGCATGCCTTTTTAAAAACAAAGCTATTAAGGTCCTATCTGAAGCAGTGTTTTTCAAACTTTAGTGTGCAACCAAATCCCTGGAGCTCTTGCTAAAACACAGATTCCTGGGTCTCGCGCACAGTCTGTGATTCAGTAGGTCTGGGAAAGGGCCTGAGAATTTGCATTCCTGACAAGCTCCCAGATGATGCCAGTGCTACACTGGTCTGAACCACATATCCCAGAGGATTAACCTCCATACATTTGAAGACGCTAGAGGAACTGGATATGTGTGAGAACATTTTGGACTTACAGGTCTCTCTTCCAGTGAAAAAGTACATGCGCGTGGGCTTTGTCTGGTTTTCTTATCCTTGGAAATGATCACCAAAGTATGTAGGCAGCCTTTCCTTTAGGGCAAGAGATTATCATGTTCAAGTCACCATGAGCATTTACTGAGTGCTTCCTAAGGCGCAGGCATACAAAAATAATCCAGACGCACACCCTGAGCTTGAGGAGCTCAAAGCACAGTGTCTCAAAAACTAGGGAAGCAGGCAAAGTATGCATTATGAACAAAGAAGTAATACTGCTGTTTTTAACCTTCTGACCCCAGGACTCAGGACACAGCCAGCTCAGGCCTTTGAGACTCACCTGCTCTTTCCTGTCATAGTGGCCTCTGGTTCCCTGTCTCATCCTTCTAGCCCCACCCACCTTTTAGACTTAACCCCATGTCTCTGTGATCCTTGCTAGTAATAAAAATGATCATCATCGTTCCTCCCATTTATGGAGCTTTATCTATTGCCAGACTCTGTGTATAGGCTGTCACAGCAATCCAAAAGTTGGGTGATTTTATCCCTGCTAAACATATTAGTAAACTGAGGATCAGAGAGATTAAATGACATGACCAGAATCACACAGCTGAGGTGGGTGGCAGAGCTGGGATTGAAAGCTTATTTTTCTGGACATCTAAGCCACTAAACCACATTCCTTCTACTTTTCTACACAGCCAGTATTCTTTTTTTAATTAAGATTTTTAATTTTTATAAAAATGACTAGACAATTGGCCAACATAACCATGTTCCTGTTTAACAAAATGGAAGAAGGATAAAAGAACAAAAATGAGTAATGAGAGAATTCTAGAACGTTTAGCAAAAAATGGCATTTTATGTTTGAAACATTATATGCCCACAGAGTGTTTTTGTGTTAATGACTTGGCTTGGGTCTCAACATTCTTCAGGGTAAGATCCATCCTAGCATTGTCAGACAGGAAAAAAGTAGCCTTCACCCCCTTTTTATGCCAATTTGAAGCTTAGGGAGGTTATGGCTCAAGGAAGTGGTAGACTCAGGACCAGTACTCAGACCCCCTGGTGTCCATTTCACTGGACTGGAAGACCAAGGAAGGAGGCAGTTGGGAAGGGAACAGGATTGGGGACATGAGCATATTGGTCAGGACACTTGTGTTTGCAAAAGACAGAAAACTGAATTCCAATTTACTTAAAACAACAACAAAAACAACCATCATCACCACCACCACCACCACCACCACCACCGGAGATTTTACTGAAACAGGTAACTGAGAGGTTGAGGGCAGATGCTGAGTCCAGGGACTGAAGTTATTATGGCTCAGACTCTTTCCATCTCTCTCCTCTGCTTTCCTCTATGGTGGCTTCATTCTCAGGTTATGTCTCTTCTTATTGTGAATCCAGGAAACTCCCAGCTAGTAACAACAACAACAAAAACCTTTTCTCTTTCCTACTGCTTCTTGCAGAATGCAGACATTGTCCTGGCCTGGGTCATATGCCCAACCTTAAACCAATCACTACAGCCAAGGGATGAAATATTCCTATTGGCCAGGCCTGGGTCATGTGCTCCCTTTTGGAGTCTGGTGTGAGACTCTGCCTAAACAACAGGGCTGTGAGTGAGAGAGGAGAGGTTATCTAAAGGAAAACAGCTGCTGTTACAAGAAAGACAGAAAATGGAGGCTGAGCATTCAAAATCATGAGCTTCAAGTTTAGTGAGCATTATAAAAAAAAAAACTGGGCAAAGTCATCTTCCTAAGCTTTTGCTTTTGAAAGTCCAAATAGCCTTGAGGTATTTCTCATCTAATTCAGCAGGTAGTTATTGGGGTTAGAAGCCATACTGATCCCCTCCCCCCATCACTGCTTATGATGCGCCCTTCCTAAAAGCAGAGTCTGCCAAGGGCCAGGTACTGAATTGTTTTATTGGGTATAACAACCACACTGTTTTCTGTGTAGAACTACTTTGTATTACTGACATTGGAGAGTTGTGATTTACCAGCTAATTTGATTGTAACGATACATTGCTATACATTGGCACACAATTTGGTGTATTTACTGGGTTGTCGGAAAAGTCATGATGCATTTTTGTAATAAAAACATAGAAAAAATACATTGTGCCTTTTCCAACAACCCAATAGATGTTTTCTATTCTGCCAGTGGTTCCATGCCAAAGTTCACATGGCTTTGATATGCACCACATTCAGTGTCTCAAGTGCTAAATGACTGAGGCCCTCACAAATCAGTAGCACATTATCAGTTTCTTCATGTGTAAAATGAAGGTCTGGATGAGATACATTCTAAGATTTATTCAAAGTCCAACATAATATGATTCTATGATTTTAAAGTTTAGGCTAGATCGCATTAGTTTGTAAAACTAGACAAACATTTTTCTACTTTTCTTTT